ACAACTTAAGTATTTCAAATTCAACCTTGAGGTATGCGTGGTTCTTACGTGCGGGCACTTAAAAGTGTTGACGAAAGAATTTCTCACTGAACAACTAGGCTACTTTCAAAGAACGGCTGTTAAATGGAAATTATACATTTGCTTTGCAAAATTTATGGTGATTTACGCTAGTGACCGCAAAAGGTAGGTGTAAAGCAACAGCCATTCATACAGTAAATGACCCGAGTAATTCAAGTCCGGTGCAAAAACGCATGACCGCACGGGCCTGCCCGGTGTGTTCCAGCCTGGGTTTCTCTCAACACAAAGTACGCTACACAAAGATGCACAAAAGAAGCAATATTGTGAAGGATCCTGGTTTTGCATCAAGAAAATAAAACCAACGATTGCGCTGCTTGAGGAAGTCGATTGCACACTTCAGTACAGTGCTTTTGTCCATTCTCCTCTCATCACCGGCCACTAGGCCGGTTAACTCGCCGATCAGCCGGTTAAATGCGTCACGTCGTCGTTTCTCACTTTCATTTCTGGTCTTCCTGGAACAGTAAAAACATTCATTTCACGCACAACAAACACACTCCTGCACATTTTAAAAATTACTGTGATTAGCATTTCTTATTAACTCAAGAAATCACCTGTTTCTTATGTTATAATAATATTCCGACTACTAATTAAAACGTCATTTGACTTTTTAAAAGTATTTCTAAAACAGTTTAAAGTTTCGTACATGCATGTTTATGTGTGTGTGTGTGTGTTTGAATCACTGTTAGCATGCAAGTGTGTGTGCTTAAAGATGTGTGTACATGTGCGTGTTTATGCATTTGTGTATGCGTGTGCGAGTGTACATATATATATATGTGTGTGTGTGAGTGTGTGTGCGTGTGTGTGCGTGTGTACGAATATGTGTGTATGAGTGCATGTGTGTGTGTGTGTGTGTGTGAATGTATGTATGTCAGGATAAATCAGCTTCAGAAATACGATAAAGTACAAGCATGTGCCTTTTCGTAATACGCTCTCTAGTGCTTGAATGGTTTTTTGGTAATTTGTAGTAAAAATATTGCGAGTGTAAAATATTCAAAATAATTTTACAAGAATTTTATCTTGAAGTACTGATGAATGGAAAATAAAAAGTCCCAATAAATACCAAGAATGCGAGTACAAATAAAAATTTATTTCCACAAAATAAACATTAAAAATTTGTGACGGTTCAGGAAGGGAATAAAGATTATACCTTTTGGAGCGCGATTCGGTAGATGTTGTGGGTTTATTGTCGCTGTATCCTGAGCTAGTTTCTGCCATCCCTTCCAACTCATTCAAACTGAAATTTTTGGCTTATGTGATTTCTCATTGGCCTTTGTTCGAATCACATATTTTCCTGGAGCAAGCCTCTGCACCACGCAGGAACAAAAATCCCAGAAAAAAAGAGTAATGTAGGGACACAGTGGAATTGCGTAAAACACAACTAAATCACTGAGGATAAGTTCGAGCAAGCTATGAATCCAATCTCGAAATCAGATTTTGCTCATCGGTAAACATGCTAGTGAGTGCATGATATTGGAAAAATGAAGTGTCGTCTTCTCGAAAAACACGAAGGTTACTTTGGATTTTTGAATTCAGCTTTCTTCTTAAAGAAATTATCGTTAAGAAATTCGAAAAGTCGACATGCCGAATAGCTGCTAGATGCTCAGCAACGCCCTGTAATAAGTTCTTCTTCGTACTCTGCAGAGAGGATGCACAAAAATCGCAAGAATAGGAAAAATTCATCTACAAAAATCATCTGAGAAGTATCCATATGAGACAAAAACAAATGGAACGACCTTTCCGCAGGCGGAAAATTTTTGTTTATATCTTCTCAAACCACAGAGCTATGATTCCCAAAACTGCACAGACGGTCGGTGGGAATCCCATTTAAATGATACTATGTCGGATGCAGCTGGGCAACACGATCCTGAACTGCAAACATCTTTTAGTACTCATCCCTCCTTTTTTATGTCTGTCCACCAAGTGTCCACACAGTTAATAGAAAACAGGGCGAAGTGCCTTTTTTGTTAAAATACTGTGTGATCTAAACAAATTTTTCAGGCTCGACCTTTTCTGAAGTTCAGGCTCAATCTCTTTTCAGACTCGTACGCTGCATGATCAAAAGAGCCGAGGATGCTTTGCTAAACTGAGAATCACAAAAAACTGAAGGGCGAGGCAGTCGAACAAAATTGACGACGTGGCGATGCGATGCAAGCGATGAGCTACTGCTTGCATTGTTAAAATGGCTTCATTTGGCTGCTTTGACAAATTTTTCAAGGCAAACTGCTTTCCTCATATCGCCTTCTGTCACCAAAATAGTTGCTCTTTTCTTAGTCCCCCTTTTCACCTCCTCCGTCCTCACCCACTTCAGTTTACTGCCCTTACTGCAGGGAAACTCTTGTTAATGGACACTTAAAGAAAAAGAAGCAAGGCAACTGCGAAGTTCGCATAAATTTTGGGTTGCACCGAAAACAGGACTCTGTGCCTTCGCGCAACCAAGTGAAAGTGATGAGACCGTGTGCGGACACATCACCGGTAATTGCTGGGAAAATTTCAAGGTCAACAGAACGCTGGAAGTGAATTCATACCCACGTATTTGACACACAAACACACACACACACATATGCACATACGCACACACATACACACGTATATGCAAACACACACAAGCACGCACATCCAAATATACAGAAAAAAACATTCAAACAGGCGCATACAAATATGCACATACAACGTACAAACACATAAATGCACAAATAATTGAACAAAAACGCACACACAAAAATACACAAACAATCGAACAAACATACACATAAACAAACGCACACACCATATACACAATACATATACGCATACACATACAAACACATTCATTCCACAAATAGTTTCACTTCTACGCGTTTTTGCATTCTGATGCAACACAAAAACGCGAAAAAACAACTGTTTGATTTATGATATTAAGAGAAGAAAAAAATCCCGCCTTCGTTGCACCTGCTGAGGCCACTTTAAAAATTTACTGAAATGAAGACGTCGAATATTGTCTCTGGGTACAGCACCAGCTGTGCTCAAATCCGTCCAAGAAAAAACCGGATTCTTTGTGTTCAACGCGGCTATGTTTCATCACGACCTCTGCTCTTTTTAATTTTCCGAAATTGGTGGAAAATTCCGCTACTTTGGCGTGCATATTGCAGTCTCGCATATCAATCTTTGAAATTCTTGGTTCAGCCAGTTGCTTATAATTTCTTCTCTTGACAAAGTAAAGCTGAATGAACTGCGTGATATTATCCTTCATAGGTGGGATGTGTAGTAATTTTTGGACAATTTCTGGGCAATTGCTATAGCTCGGCTCGGGTCGGATCGGCTAGGCTTGACTTGGCTCGGCTCGGCTGCATCTCGACTCGCCTCGGCTTGACCTCGGCAGCTGCACGGTTTGCGAATCCACTCGCAGACCGTGCAGTAGGGGGCAGTGAGACGGACGGAGAAGAGGGCAGGGAGGGCGAGGAGGCGCCGGAGAGGGGAGGCGGTTGAAGGGGGCGGGGCGAGGGGAGTGGGGGCAGGAAGGGGTCGGGTGCGAGACTGTTGTGCGAGGATGGAAACCACGGGCTCGGAGGCACGGAAGAGGGGGTAATTAGGTGGGAACGTCGAGTGGCCACGTAGAGGAGAGGGGAGAGGGGTAGTGGGCGGAAGGGAGCGGGACCCGTGTTGCTGGTTTTGTCGCGGATGCGCGGGTTATCAGAAAGGCTTTGGAGGGATGTACACTGTAGAGGGCTAGGAGGGGACGGGGAAGAGGACTGGCAATGCATGAGCACACTTTTGGGAGTTAGATTCGAGACGCGGGGAGGGGTTGTGACAGGCGGGGA